AAACGTTCGACGCTTTTCACAGGACCTGTAGAAACACATTCATAGTACACAACAGGAGTGGCCATGTTGGGCGGGGAGCTTTTGTTTGTTTTCTTCGGGCCCATAAACGAAAAGGTAAAATGAAGGTCAAAGTACAAGGTTGGACAAAAAAAAAACACAACAATTTCTGGCATCCAAAAGGCCGGTGCATTTTAGCAACACCCTCCAGTTTTGATCGCGGGTGTTGGGAACACTGAGTGCGCCGTGCTCCCCCTGGAAATGAACGGAAGGAACCTGAGGGGGTCCGAAGCCACTTGTTGCCACTCGTTGCAGGGCACTATTCAAATGCAAACTCATGATGATTTTGTTTAGTTGGTGATTGACTTGTGATTTGTTTATCTATGTCTGTCTATCTGTCTGTTATTAACATTCCTTTTTTTAATGTCGCTGCATATCTGTTTCAATCGTTCGTTCTGTCTAAATTTAGTTGCTTATTTGATTGATTCTTGTTCACTTATTTCATGTTTCTGGATTAACGCTGTTGTGTCTGTCTCTAATTCTCTTTCTTTATTCTGCTCTTTGTTCTGTATCTGCTTAAATCATGTATTCCATGTCATTTGTTTTATTTGTTTGGCTTCTACATGTTCGATTTGTTTTCTTCAGCTCTGTCTTTCGTTACTGATGTACCTAGTATTTGACTTGTTTCATGTTGTTAGATCCTTGTTTCTTTTGTATTTTATTCCCTCCATTGCACTTCTTTCTTCCTTGCTGTATGTATTTCTGTCTTTCTTTCTTGCTTGTGCCTTTCTTGCTTTGTTGAAGTCTTCTTTCTGTCTTTCTTTCTTTCTTTCTTTCTTTCTTTCTTTATTTCTCCCTTTCTTGCTTTCTTTTCGTGTCTTTTCTTTTCTGTCTTTTCTTTTCTTTTCTTTTTCTTTCTGCCTACTTTCTTTCTTTTCTTATCTTTCTTCTCTGATTCCCTCTTTCTTTCTCGCTCTATCTCCCTCTCTCTCTCTCTCTCTCTCCCGCCTTCTCTCGGTTACTCTTTCTCGCTCCCCCTCGCTGCAGCCACTGTCGGCTTTTGAGTTGGTATCCCATTTTAAGCCCGTTTCAAAGGCGAACCATTCGCACGCTCGAAACCAACAGAGCCACGGGCGGTCTGGCCCAAATCGCTGCGTGCCTGCGCCTGGACCTCCGTGGCCAGCATCGCGCCCAGGCACAGGGGAATCAGCAAGAGCAAAGCACCCAGCGCCAACCTCGCGTACGTCCCGCACGTGTCACACGCGTCTCACGCACGTCTCACGCACGTGTCAAGCACGTGTCAAGCGCAGAACCTGTGGGAAGCTTGGATTTCGATTTCGTCGTGCATTCCGATTCCCGGTAGTACTGCAGGTAATGCTACTGGAAGGAAAGATGCTTGCGCGCAGGCATTCAAATATTGCAAATGGCTCGTGCGTATGAGCTTGCAAAGCTGCATGTGTTGCAAAGTTGGCATTCCATCAGGTTTGGGTTCGACCCTGATTGAACCCAGATCATGAATCAATGAATCAGGCGGGCCCCTTTCAATCCCTTGCTTGCGGAAGCCTTCTGATTGACTGGAGTTATTCAAGCAGCCGGAGTCGCTCAGCAATCGGGCCTACAAGAAAAACACGGGAGCCAAGGGGTCTTGAGACCCCTGTCCCCAAAGCAAAGTCGCACCTAGAAGAGTCAGCGTGGAGTAAAATGCTGTCCCTCTGGATCCGGAAAACCGAGGGTAAACCCCCCACTGATTTGGGTGTGGCTCAAAATTAACCAGGAGGGGCAAACCGCAGGTTTTGGTCCATGTTTCCACGTACCAGGGCAACCCATTTTGGTCGGGTTTTTGGAGCCACAGCCATTTGGGACGTGTGCTCAAAGATGCCCTCTACGTTTCATGCCTTCCAGAAGAACGAAGGGCTTCCACTAATAAGCGGAGACCAAACTGAAACCAGGGAAATCCAACAAAGGTTCCCAAGCAACCCCAAAAAGGCATGTCCTCACACATTTCTTCGAATCTAGTGCGGTTGCCTCACGAACAAGCGTGGAAGTTCACTGTCCCCATTTCAAAAGGAAGGTGTTGAAAACATGGCCCGTTTATTTTTCATTTCATAAGGCCACATCTGCGCATGATTCTTAGTTATAGTGTACTCCACATGAGCCACAATCCAAACCCGGCATTAAAATCGTGAACCCAGAACCATGTCATCAGAATTAAGAAGGCGGCCCAGCTATTTACGGCTGGGATGGGCCCCTAATGTTGAGCCGGATTAATAAACCCCTGGGTTGTCCCCTTTTAGTGGGGATTCAGACCACTTTTGGAGGGAACACCCTCTAATGATGGGACGGGTTTATTAATCCTGGGTCAACATTACTAGCCTTCATCTACCCGGGTTTTGATTGCTCACAACATCACGAATGGAGCCAGTCACCAAGCTCCGGGCCACGGTATTGCCACCCAAGAGTATCCGCGGAGACTGGCGAGCGCTTGCTTCCGGACACGGAAACCCATGAGGGAAGCCAACAGAAGTGGTTTAACGGTGGAACCAAAGGAAAACGAAGCTGATTTTCGATTTCTCTCTCTCATCATGACAGCACTGACCGGAGTATCCTAAAGTCTCTCGCTCTCCCAGGCCTCTCCTCCTCTGCCTTGCCCGCCTGGCCGCGAGAGAGGTTGCTGCGACGACCCCTCTGCAGAAAGCTTACTTTTTTTGTTGGTTCAGTACGAAAAATCCAATGTCTGTTTCAACTAACAAGCTAGAGTCCAAGGATCCATTACCACATATATCATAGAGACCCCCCCTTGTTTGGCAACAGAGCCGCTTTCAACAAATGCTTGTTGAACCAAGTTCCTCATGCACCAGGCGACAGCAAGTTAATGCTCGGCGGTTGAAGGACGAACTGGCCACACAACAAGTTGGATCGACACCCACACCAGCATTGCTTGCAACGATCCAGGATCCAATGGGCCATATGTTGCCCACCAGTAAGCCACAGGTTGGGCCTCGCTTTCCCCAGAAGACGCTTTTGCATAGGTGTGTCAAGTCGGTTGGTGGGTTACCCTGCTTTGGCATCCCTTGAAAACAGCCCCAAACAGGGTCCCAGAAAACCATCCTACCTTTGACAGCTCGGGGCTATGATGCTTTGGCCAATTTGTGGGGCTGTGTCCAGACCTTGTCCGGCATTTCATTTGGGGCCCTGGGAGGTCTACAAGTAAAATGGGTAAAGTTAACGCCTCGGAGCCACCCTTTTGTCAACTCCTGAAGCCCCTGTGTCCCTTTTTCAGTGGACCCAAACCCACCCACTCTCGGAAGTCTGGACACGCGTCCTCTGGATTTTGCGGGTTCCCCCAGATAAGCGTGCCTTCTCAAGGGCTGGCATGTTGGTTTGTCAGCCTTGGCTCTGGCCTGATACTTTTAGGCATTACCAGTTCAGAGGCATCACCAGCATCAAAGGCATAACCAGCATCAGCAGCAGCACAGGCATCACCAGCAGCCATGGATGCGGATTTGCACGTCACACATCGCCAAACAAAACAGACTCATATTTTTTCCTGGCCTTCTCCAGATTTTGCGGGCCTTCTCCGGTTTTGCGGGCCTTCTCCGGTTTTGCGGGCCTTCTCCGGGTTTGCGTGCTCCCCCAACCTCTGCGTGCTCGCTCATTTTTATTTTTATTTTTCAAAAAAAATAAAAAGTTGAGAAGGCACTGTCCACTTGGGAAAAGCCTATGGCCAAAAATGAGGTACCTTACAGTAAAAACGCACATCGGCTTTTCCCCGGGGTATCGTGCCTTCTCAGTTTTTTTTTTTTTTTTTTTTTTTTTTTTTTTTTTTTTTTTTTTTTTTCGGGCGGTTCCCCCCAGCCGGTTCTGCGCCGCCCTGATCGGATCCCCTGTTATTTCTTGGGGATCCTAGCTGGTTTTTGACCACAGGGAAAACAACAGGGTTCCATTTCCAGTCCCAGGGGCCCAGATTGCTTGTGAAACAGCGCCTAAAGAGAAAGAGGTCTCAGTGCGTTGAACCTTCGTGTGAGGGGGGGACAGCTGGGAAAGCAATCATCAAGTAAATTTATGTCTGGGTGTAGCGCCCTTTAGAGCGGTTCCAAGAACTGAGAAGGCATGGTCCCCTGGAGAAGCCTCGGGGATGGGGGTCCAGACCCTCGACACTCACCACTTTCGCCTCATGGCCAGCGCTTCCAGGCATCAGTGAAACGACCAAATACTGGAGAGGGACCCCTTGGAAAGTCTTATCTCTCGTCCTGAGTGAAGCCAACCAACCTCAAGTGGTCGCAAAAGAATGACCCAGAAACTGAGCAAGTAAAAAGACACGAAAACCACGAAAAGCGGTGCTCCCTATTCTTGCAAAGACCCAGGTCTGTTTCCGCAAGGTCTCGAGAATTGGCATAGTGCCGTCCATGCTATGTCGAAAAGTCTTGGCATCTTGTATGTTCGCTGAACCACAAATATGGCTAAAGGTAGAGCCAGAAGGCTGCCGGCTATCGCCTGCTCTAATCGGGGGCGCAAGAAATGTTGGCTTTGGCTCACATCTATATACATTTCTATGCCCAACCTCAGCAAGATCTCACCTGTATTAAGATCCCCCCACGAAAGATACCTGAACAAATACAAAAGGTGCTACTCCGACCGCTTGTAAAAATGCGCAGGCTGCGCCACACCACAAACATTAGAGGGTTCAGTCAGGCCTCCAATCTTGACACCACATATTTTCTGATTTCGCCTGGCCCAAAATTTTAGGAGGAGACCCCCTGGCCATTTGGGGGAAGTGAGCGCATGACTTCTTCCTTTTTTCCGGTGAATCCTGGGCAAGGTTCGGCCCTGAAGCTTACAAGGTGCCGCTGTTTTTGCGGCAGCCTTTCTGACCCCGGAGGGGCCAAATTCGCGCTGCGGCCCGGCTCGAGAAAAGACCTGGCGTTGGGGGAACCCCCTTCGTGGAGGGCTTTTTAGGATAAGCCAAAAGGAAACCACCGAGGGGATTGTGTCGGATAGATTTAGAGCTAAACCAAGAGAAGACTAGTCAGGCGGATTTTCGCCGGTTATGAGACACCATCAGCACAAAGGTAAGGTCTTCTGCCGGCATCGCTGGCGCTGACAATCAGCGCACGGGGAGACCCGTACGAAAAGTGGAGCCTCAGACCAAAAGGGCGAGCGGGGACCCAAACCGAAGTTCGAGGCCCGACATGGCAATAGAGGGTCGCAACTTTGCTATAACCGCATGAACCCAGATGGAAACTATCCCCATATTTAATTGCATACAGCAAGTACATTGCCCAAAAGAGCAAAGTTGTGGTACAAACCCCACGAAGCCTTAGGAGTACATCATGGCGACCCAAGCCTCCTAACCACACCCTGCTAGGGACAAGGGTTTCTGACACCCTTGTTGGAGGCTTGTTTTAAAGAAGCTGGAAGGACTCCCTATCTATTTGGGTGTGTCCTTCTCTTGGCCCCCCCCCAAAAAAATGGCTTCGGTTTCCTTGTGGTTTCCCTTTAAAACCAACCAGAAAAGGGTACCCTCAAAAACGACACACCCAGGTTGACACTACCCGGCAGATAGATGGCACAATTCGGACGTATATTTTTAGGTAGATGGCACGACTGCCAAAACAAAGTCCACCGTTCTGATTCAGACTAGCGACTGTTGGAAGACACTAAGGACATCCAAGGACGAAAGCCACAACCCAGTATGGCTGCCCTTATGGCTCTCTATCAGCATTGGGAACAGGGACCCCTATTTCTATTTATATCACAAAAACGGTGAACATCGCGACTGGCAAACCGCAAACGCCGTGGCTGCAGCCATAAGCCCACGGCGGAATTCAACGCGTCGCTTCCTTGGTGACGGGTGACGGGGAAAGACACAGGATGTAGATATGTACATAAACATGTGTATATATGTGTATATGTATGTATACACCTACAGAGGTGTTCCGGCAAAAGAAAATAACAAGAAAAACAAGAAACAACAAAACGGTGTTGTACGGAAAACATGGTTTTGTGATAATTTTTGTTTGCCGATTTTACGGCGTTTGTGATTTACGTTTTTGTTTTCGTTTCGGGGGTCCAAACTCGAAGAAGCTGACAACGAGCTTGTTTGGCTCTGACCCACCTTTCCAGGCTTTAGTAGCCTAAGAGATGTACGTATAAAGCAAGACGTCCTCAACATTGCCCTCCAAATGGTGGCTGTTCCCATCCCCAAACTTATGCTCACTTGAAGGGACCAAAGATAGTGGCTCTTATGATCTTATGTGTAAGTGTACCACTTGTATTATATATTAGCTACTGTCAACAACTTGTGCTGCAAGTGTTGCTATTCTAGTGAGCCACCCATCGTTTGCTAGGCTTTGTCTTTTTGTTTCCCGCCTGCTTGGTGAGTCGCGCGGCCGCTACCGTTCTCCAAGCCTTTGAATAATTGCACGCAGTCAAACGTCATTTAGATGCACAGCCCCTGGTAAATGGAATAAAACCCAGTTTTAGCCAAACAATCCTAAAAAGGACACCTATGTCAACAGCAAACACTCGTAGCAAGACATACCGCATGCTCTCGCTTGACACCGAAGACCCAAAAGCTGGCTCTCGCTCGTTCTCTCCAGCATCTTGCCCCCCCCTGCAGGGCTCCCTATAGTCCTTTAATCATTGCACTGCCAGAAAGAAACTCACTTCAAATTGATCACACAAGTGATGTACAAAATGAGCAAAAGCGGAAATATAGGGTACCCTGCCTCCTGCCCATGCTTCTCCTCTTCCTCTCCCTCCTCACCCTCCTCTCCCTCCTCCCCCTCCTACCCCTCCCCCTGCCCCCTCCCTTCATACTCTTTCTTCTGCTTCCCCTCTAGGTCTTGCTGCTGCTGCTGCTGCTGCTGCTGCTTGAACGAAATCCCTAAACATGTTCGCTTGAAGGGACCCAAACATACTGGTGTGGCATACATGTCCAAATTAGATGATCATACATGGACGTGAGATTTACTTAGGGATGCTATTATCTATCAATGAAGTTCCTTGCAGTATCTTCCGAGTATATTCGACAATCACAAATTGGAAGCAATGAATCCCCGAGTAAAGGGACTGGTGAGCAATAAATTGGTTAGAGAACTGGAAAGGTAACTTCCTTGGGCCCAGAATCGTTCGAACGCGAATGGAATTTGCCCACCTCTATCACTTTCGTCTAGGAACGCCCATTCTCCGGGTTGCCATTGCGTCTGTTAAACAGCCCCGCTCAAAGCATGTGCAGTTATTTCCGAGACTCAAAGCAAGGTCACGCCTGAGTTCAAGGGCTTGTATCCCCGTTCAGTCTGGACACACTTCTACAATTTACAAAACCGGACATACATGAAATCGCCGGGAGGGCCTTGACGGGTCAACTCTGTCCCCCGAATCGGTGGGCTCCTTTCCCTGCTCGCTGTTCGGAAAGCCTTTTCGCGTGGACCTGACTCAGGGCCCGAAAACGGGTTGAAGAAAGGAACAAAACCAGCTTTCCTCTAGTTGGTGGTTTGGATTGGTGGTTTGACGGTTGGGGGCGTTGTTGCCCATATTTCCTGTACAAGAAGGGATTAGATAAAAAAAATCCAAATCCGAACCATCAATGCAAACCACCAATCAAGGATTACTTGAAACAACACTTGAAAATGCCAATATATTTATACATGCATATTTACATATGCATACATATACATATATATATATATACACGTGTGTATGTATGTATATATCTATCTATTATAACTATATATATATATGTGCCACAATCTATATTAGAACATAGATTTAAAGCGACCACCAAAAACAACAAGCAACGAACCAGCGCACCAACGCACCACTGAGGCGTCGGCCGTGAGCTTCACCTCGGGGCTGTGGACATCAGCCTCCTGGCGACGGTAGGCGCACCACCCATTTTAATCTGTTTCTGTTTTAGTGGGGTTGGGATGTTCACTGGAAATATGGGAGTTTGACCCATCGCCATTTGGATGCACAGCCATAGGTGGCATCTTGGCGAAATCGATGGCCCCGGCACATGGAAGAAAACCCATCTAAAGCAGTGCCGACTGGGGTACCGACTCTTGGCGACACGTGTCATGGGCCTTAAGATCTGGCCTTAAGATCTGGCCTCAAGATGACCATGGATTCCCTGACCAGTTTGTCACCTATGGGTCTGTCTCTTTTCCAGGTGCCCAAATTTGTCACCAAAAGGAAAACCGAAGCCAGTTTGGAGTCCCCGAAAAAAGACATCCCATATGGGGCAAAAGACTTGTCGAGGTTTACCATTGCCCTCATTCCAATCGTGGAAATGGACAAGCCATTTTGAGGATGCTAGCCAACTTCCATGATGGAAAGAGGGTATCCAGTGTGTGTCCAAGGGGGCGCGCCGCAAATAGTGGTTCTCCTTTTGAGATGTTCCTTTAAGTAAACCAACCTTAAAACTGGTACCCTCAACACAGCCTCCACCCACGTAAATTTGGGTGTGGCGCAAAATGGCTTCTGGTGTCCGCCGAAGAGGTGAAGAAATCAGGATTCCGTTTTCGAGCAAAGCACGCAGAGATACACCATGGGAGAGCAAAAATTAACTCAGTCTTGGGCTTTGCTTACAAAAGCAAGTTAACCGGCATTCCCTGTTGCAAGTTAACCAGCCACAAACCACAGGGTGTTCTTTAACCCAATAACCTTACTAGATCTGGTTGTTTTGGGCCCGTGTGCTTTTACCAGCTGATGACCAAGCCCATGATCAACAGATAAAGCCCACCAATTTCATGTCAATATTCTACAATCAATAAACATGAACTCTCAAGTGCAAAAGGTGCGTTTCGACCAACAGGTGTTGGCGCTGACGAATTTAGGAATCGCTTGCGGCAAACGCTTGTGACGAGTGGCACAGCTCCAGCAGCAAGAGTGGGTCAATATCGAAACTGGTATCCAAGGAGTCTACACCGAACCCATGGTAAAAACACATCAACAGCCCAGATATCCGCACCCGCTCATGCACTCATTTATCCCAGTTGCCCTGATCCTAATAGAAAAAGAATCGGAACCCTTTTTGGGGGCAGGACCATATTGAACTTCCCCACCCAACAAACAAGAACTTTATGGATTTGGAAACTACTAGTTCCTGTTTTTGTGGAGGGGAACCGCAAAAAAGGATGGCCATGGACGTCTGGAGGTCTGGGTAGCCTTTCTACCGATTCGGGCAGATGAAGTTTCTGGCTGCCCCCTTTGTTGCCATGGAACTTGGCCGGGGGTTCTCAAAAGAAGACTTTTTGGTGGGTTCCCTGCTACAGGATGGGAAGGTAGATTCATTTTCCTAGCTTGCGTTTGAAGATACCTTCCTTTGACTTTTGGAATACCCCCCTTTCCACCAACATGGAACCCGCCAGAGGGTCCATTCTAAAACAGAATGTTGTCAGTAGCGGTAAGAGTAGGATCCCGCCCTCAAGAGGAACCACGAAAACCGCCTGGGGCCATTTTGGGTCCAGCAACGCGGGCGAACGGCTTAACGGATCGCCGGAGCACACCCATTCCGCAGGCTCCGCAGCTGGCCATGGGTCAAAAGCCCGGTTAGCCCAGTGAACGTGAACCAATCCAACCACTAAAATAGGTAACTCCTAAAATCGGTGGTGAATTCGCCTACCCCCAAAATGGGATCCCATTGGTTTTGACAACCACAGCATGAGACAAACTCATCGCCCCGGACAAATGTACTTGCTTCACCAAGAGGTCCTGCGAACTTTGGGAGGGAGACCTGCGTCGCTTTGGAGCGGGCTACTAGTCCCCTGTACATCACGCCTTGCCAGAGAGACCGCCTCCAACGTTGAAGTCCTTGAGCGCGGCCGACGGCCCACAGTTTCCGGCGATGAAACATGTGAATTGCACCCATTGGTCTTTGCTTTTGATCGAATCGCCCCCTCTTTCGCACCAAGCATCCAGCTGAGCGTGGGCATCCTGAGCTCCCAGCTGGGCTGAACTTGGTGTTGGCGGGGCTGAAGCACTCCAAGAGGTTTTTGGTCTTGCAGCCTCATTTTCTCGTTTGCTAACCGACATGGTGGGCCACGCTAAAGGCAGAGCCGGTGTTGCTGTTCCAGAGAAGTATAGATAGCCTAAAGAAAAAGCTGGTCGCTGCTCAAACAACCCGCACTGGCTCTTTGGTTTCAGAGCTGATTGGGGCGGAGCAGCCCCTATCGGCGTGGAAGGACGTGCCCGATTCAAAGTGAGAAGCGCAGGTTGTGCATCGCACTTGCGACGCAATCTTCAGGCAACATGTGTCAAAGCACACAGCATCATTCTGACACTTATTCAGAACCGCAATGTGTGTATAAACGTGGGCAAACACACGGCCCTCGCCACTGTCAATTGGACTCTGGCAAATGTTGGTCCAGGGGTCGATGTATCAACTGGGTCCCCAAATCCGCTCCTCAGCTCTGGTTGAAATCTGCACACTGGGCTTGGCCCTTTCCTTCGCTAAAGTCATATTTTTGTTTGGTGCTGGAAGTTGGCAGCTTGAACCTCAAAAGTGGACACAGAGATGCACCTCCATATACTGTATGCTTTGCGATTGGGCTGCGTCTTGCTTCTTGACAAGGCTGCAAGAAAAACCCACATCGTGGCCTTGGCATGCGGAACGGAAGATCGGGGCACCGGGAGCAAACGACGTCGCTGGACCATTGGAGTGCTAAAAAACTGTTCTTTCCATTTGGGAAGTTGCATCCGCGTCCTGCGCAGCGCTAGCGCGGAAGCAGTTCAAATCTGAGGCAAAGTAGGAGCAACCGCGCGCTTTACTATTTACTGGCCTGGACCTCGAGTGCAAAAAGAGCGGCCAGTGTGTTGTGACGGCACCCCAGTGCGGAAGGGCACAATCTTTCTGGTGCTCAGTTGGGAATCAGCCGGGTTTTGAGAATGAACCTAGGAATCCCCTCAAGAAAAAGCAAGGGCCAGCCGAGGCTTTGAGCCCCCAACCCGAGTCAAAGTGAAACCCCTCCGAGAGCAAGGCATGTATCCGCGGATGTCCTCACCGGATACCTGACGTGCACAATGAGCAGCGTCAGGTGTTTGAACAAAATGGGTTGCTTCCCTTTGGTGTCCTTGCAAACCGTGCCAAAACCAGTACCAACTCAAAAAAAAACGCAAGCCCATTCTTTGACACCAAATTGGATTCCAAAAAAGCCCATAGGTAAGCCCGTTGAAAACCCCGAATCGGTGAGCTCGGTTCTAATTTGCCCAACTTGCTGCTTTGGGATTAGCTGCAAGCCCGGGCAAACTGTTCTGAAATGATCTATATCTTCAGCTCCAGGTCAGCCTGGGGGCTTCCAAAACATCCAAAGCTCCGCTGAGCAGCTGACCATATCTGGGAAACTTACTTCTCAAGCCTGAACTCAGGCTGCTAAGGCATCCCGCATGGTCTGGGTCCCCCCAAAGAAACCCCCCACCCCACCCATTTGGGGCACTCTTTCCCCGTGAGCTCGCTGCACTTCTTGTAGCACCTGGCCGTGAGCTTGCGCTTCTTTTAGCGCCCGAAACCTGAGCTGAGGTTTGGTTCAAAAACCGGCGATAGATGGCGATAGCAGCGCCACCTGGGCAAGGTGTTCTCACTTCCTGAGTGGATTGGCCCAAAACAAGTCCATTTTGTGTTTGCCACTAGAATGGAGCCCATAAACTCGAGTGAGGTTGTCACTCGCAATGTCAGAGATCCCCAGGTGAGGCACCTTGATCGGTGAGGTTACCCCGTTTTTCGCCCACATCTTGTGCGGTCACATCAGGGGTAAATTGGGGTTTCGGGCGGTCCGCTTTGAGCACCAAAAGAGTGACCCTTGGTACATATGATACGCGAATGGTATATCATTGTCTCTAGATATCCAAAACGAAGCCTCCAAACAGAAGGGGCTCCAAAATCGTGATGGGCATGGTGATGGCATGGAGAACATTTGGCGATGTTCCCATGTGTGTGTGTCGCTAAAGCATCGTGAGTCGCCCGGTGTCCCCCGCAAGTAACGCATAGACCTGGATATGTCGACCGACATATCACTCATAGGAACAACTCAACAAATAATATGATGGCATGCAGGTCTAAACCGAACTGCAAGTCTCTGTGAAAGAGCAGGGCACGGAAGCGCCGCCAAACAATTGAGTGTTGGTTCTACACTCACCTGCTCATGAGAGTCATCAAGGTTTTGAGAGCCCTGGCCCTGACTGTTGAAACGGAACAACCAGAAGGTACCGGGGCTTACCTACCAAAAAAACGACTGCGACTGCCACAAAGCGAAATGAAAAGCAAACGCCTGCTCGAGTGCTTTCCGCTGCCGACTGCACACACACACAGAAATTAGCCAAATGATATGCACTGGTTCAAGGGAAACTTGTGTGTATACAAATGAACAGTTGCTCACGCACGGCTTTGTGTTGCGTGAAAACGTCGGTACCACGGACATGTGATTGTTGCCTCTGACACGTGATGTTCCTAAACTAACACAGGGGGGTAGAACCCTGTACCAAAAATGGCCAAGGGGCGCTTGGATGCGCCAAGGACACACTTGTTTATCCGCCAAGGGTGAAATATGTCCCTTGGAACCTCGCCCTGGCAAAATAAGAGAGAGGCTCACTCGAAAAGGGCAGCGATGTTTCTCAGCCACCCAGGAAGAGGCATAATGTTGACCCAGGATTACTAACCCGTCCCATTAGGGGGGTGGGGACCCCTCCAACAGTGGTCTGAATCCCCACTAAAAGGGGACACCCCCTATAAAAAATTACCAGGGGTTTATTACCCCGGATCTAAGTAGAACCCCTGGTGGATTCTTATCGGGGGTGTCCGCTTTTAGTGGGGATTGAGACCACTTTTGGAGGGAACACCGGAACACCCCCTAATGATGGGACGGGTTCTGCAAAATCCGGAGTCAACATTAAGGCCGAAGGAGGAAATTTGCGCCGAGCCGCTTGCCCAAATGCATCTCCTCCGTCACGAGGCAAGCACCCTCATTGTGAGGACCTGGAGCGGGTGAAACCCGAGCGAGGGGGAAAGTAAAATGGCTGTGGTGGTCAAAACCCAGCAAAACCCCTGGGAACATCAAAATAGGCGGCAAATGGATGTTCATCCACCCCAAAATGGAGCCATAGAAATGTTTTTTTTTGTGCAGGAGACAAACGCATCACTGCTCGCCAGCTTTGTGCGCCTGAAGGAAAGCTTGCGTTGGGTTGAAAAGCTGCGTCCAAACATACACGCTTGATCAAAAATTAAAGGACCGGATAACCCCACATGCTATGTTTTTCCCAAATGTCCACACACATGCACCGTGCGCCCCTTGTATGGATGCGATTACAGAGCACCCAGATGCACAGAATGCAGCGCCTGCCACGACTTCGGCAACGGCATCGCCAAAGTGCTGCGCCTGCCACGATTTCGCAACGGCATCGCCAAAGTGCTGCGCCTGCCACGATTTCGCACGCCCCCCGCCGCGCGCGCGACAACATCCTGTCCCTCTAGACAGCTGCCGAATGCGACCCCTGCCACACAAACACACACCCAGATGCACAGAATGCTGCGCCTGCCACGACTTCGGCAACGGCATCGCCAAAGTGCTGCGCCTGCCACGATTTCGCAACGGCATCGCCAAAGTGCTGCGCCTGCCACGATTTCGCACGCCCCCCGCCGCGCGCGCGACAACATCCTGTCCCTCTAGACAGCTGCCGAATGCGACCCCTGCCACACAAACACACACCCAGATGCACAGAATGCTGCGCCTGCCACGACTTCGGCAACGGCATCGCCAAAGTGCTGCGCCTGCCACGATTTCGCAACGGCATCGCCAAAGTGCTGCGCCTGCCACGATTTCGCACGCCCCCCGCCGCGCGCGCGACAACATCCTGTCCCTCTAGACAGCTGCCGAATGCGACCCCTGCCACACAAACACACACCCAGATGCACAGAATGCTGCGCCTGCCACGACTTCGGCAACGGCATCGCCAAAGTGCTGCGCCTGCCACGATTTCGCAACGGCATCGCCAAAGTGCTGCGCCTGCCACGATTTCGCACGCCCCCCGCCGCGCGCGCGACAACATCCTGTCCCTCTAGACAGCTGCCGAATGCGACCCCTGCCACACAAACACACACCCAGATGCACAGAATGCTGCGCCTGCCACGACTTCGGCAACGGCATCGCCAAAGTGCTGCGCCTGCCACGATTTCGCAACGGCATCGCCAAAGTGCTGCGCCTGCCACGATTTCGCACGCCCCCCGCCGCGCGCGCGACAACATCCTGTCCCTCTAGACAGCTGCCGAATGCGACCCCTGCCACACAAACACACACCCAGATGCACAGAATGCTGCGCCTGCCACGACTTCGGCAACGGCATCGCCAAAGTGCTGCGCCTGCCACGATTTCGCAACGGCATCGCCAAAGTGCTGCGCCTGCCACGATTTCGCACACCCCCCGCCGCGCGCGCGACAACATCCTGTCCCTCTAGACAGCTGCCGAATGCGACCCCTGCCACACAAACACACACCCAGATGCACAGAATGCTGCGCCTGCCACGACTTCGGCAACGGCATCGCCAAAGTGCTGCGCCTGCCACGATTTCGCAACGGCATCGCCAAAGTGCTGCGCCTGCCACGATTTCGCACGCCCCCCGCCGCGCGCGCGACAACATCCTGTCCCTCTAGACAGCTGCCGAATGCGACCCCTGCCACACAAACACACACCCAGATGCACAGAATGCTGCGCCTGCCACGACTTCGGCAACGGCATCGCCAAAGTGCTGCGCCTGCCACGATTTCGCAACGGCATCGCCAAAGTGCTGCGCCTGCCACGATTTCGCACGCCCCCCCGCCGCGCGCGCGACAACATCCTGTCCCTCTAGACAGCTGCCGAATGCGACCCCTGCCACACAAACACACACCCAGATGCACAGAATGCTGCGCCTGCCACGACTTCGGCAACGGCATCGCCAAAGTGCTGCGCCTGCCACGATTTCGCAACGGCATCGCCAAAGTGCTGCGCCTGCCACGATTTCGCACGCCCCCCGCCGCGCGCGCGACAACATCCTGTCCCTCTAGACAGCTGCCGAATGCGACCCCTGCCACACAAACACACACCCAGATGCACAGAATGCTGCGCCTGCCACGACTTCGGCAACGGCATCGCCAAAGTGCTGCGCCTGCCACGATTTCGCAACGGCATCGCCAAAGTGCTGCGCCTGCCACGATTTCGCACGCCCCCCGCCGCGCGCGCGACAACATCCTGTCCCTCTAGACAGCTGCCGTGAGTCAGCGAGTGTGAGTGAGTGAGTGAGTGAGCGAGTGAGTGAGTGAGTGAGTGAATGAGAGTGAGTGAATGAGAGTGAGTGTGAGTGAGTGAGTGTGAGTGAGCGTGAGTGAGTGAGTGAGTGAGTTTGAGTGAGTGTGAGTGAGTGAGTGTGAGTGAGTGTGAGTGACTGAGTGTGAGTGAGTGAGTGTGAGTGAGTGTGAGTGAGTGTGAGTGACTGAGTGTGAGTGAGTGAGTGTGAGTGAGTGAGTGTGAGTTGAGTGAGTGTAAGTGAGTGAGTGAGAGTGAGTGAGTGAGTGCGTGAGTGAGTGAGTGAGACGGAGACGAGCGGGAGGAGGAGGAGACGCGGCGCGCGGACGACGAGCGGAAAAAGTAAGAACCCCACACAAAGATGTGGGGAACAAAAATGGAGCAACTTCTTTTTCAGTGGGTGTCATCTCATTGTGAATATCAAGGCCCTAGCTAAAGGCAATCGGAGATCCCTTGCGGTCAGACAATCTGATGCTCGTGCCAGCGGTCCCATGCCTGATTCTGATGCGAAACTTAACCCCTCACCTCCAGAATCTGGATCTCGCGAATGCTGAAAATGTCTTCTGCAACGCCTGAAGTCAACTCCAGCTGCCTCCTGTGTTTGTCCAAGAAAAAAACCTTGCGCTGAATTTGCACACCACTTGCATTGAGAGACAAACTTGTATCAGCGATAGCGATTGATATCCTGGGACAGGACCAATGCGCAACTTGGTTATGGAACACACCACGTCCAGGGAAACCTGCAGGGTTCATTTCTTGAAGCCATACGCACAGTGACAATTACTGGTTCCCCCAAAGGGGCATGGGAAATTGGGTGCGTCCTCCTGGTTTGTGCGGGAACTTTAGAGAGTTCCCCAAGTCCAACCACAAATGGACCACAGACTATTGGAATGTTTGACCAAACCTCACTTGAGCAGAGCCAAAAACACGTTGATGTTTGCTTCTGCGAACATGATTAAGCTTTATACAGATGTTACTTCAACCCCCTATAGACCCGGTAGTAGAACTATTCAAATGGCCAATACTCCGTTTCGGGTGCTCACTTGTCCCTGCTGGGTCCCAAGAGATTTGGGGCCCCCCGCATCCCTTGGCGCACTCGTCCCCCGCAATGTCAAAGCCAGTGCAAGGGATCGGGAAGCCTTCCGTCCTGAGCGAGGAACTCAACAGGAATGACCCTGTTAAACCCCGGAGAATACAAAAAGGACGGGAGCATTCCCTGGCCGATTTTCGGTGACTGAACAGCCTTCACTTCTCTGGGGGTTTGAAGGAAGCCTTCTTATTGTGGCAAGCACTAACGAGAATCTTCAATGACATAATACTCTGAGATGCGCCTTGTCTGAGCCCTAACCAGAAAACAAAACCAGAAACACCTACCGGAATCAGCGTAGCTCTTACACATGGCAATCAGTGCGCTTTCCGCGCCGTGTGATGTGTCTACACCTTGACAATTGTGCGAGCTCCTCACGAGCGCGTTCAGATTGCGATTCGTATCGCATCTGTGAACACGGGACAATTACCCCTGTGATACCAAAGTATGCCTACCTTCGCACTAGTTGGGGGGCGGGTTCCCTTGGGACAACAGAAAGTGACAACCTGAAATCCCAAAATACACAGTGCATCTAGCTCCCCATTGCCGGCTTTCAATGGCCAATGCCTCGAGGCAAATTATTGCCATCAATAGCACAGTGGCAAAGCCCAAAATCAACGCACAATTGTTCTAAAAGGGCAAAAGGGCACCAGCACCAACTTGCTCATTCTTGGGAATTTTGCTGTCTTTCTTTCTTTCTTTCTTTCTTTCTTTCTGGCGTCCGGGTCCACGGATCCGGGCCTTTCCCTTAGCCTTCCACCTGAAACGGTTTTGAGGACGCTCGGCGCGCCGGGGCCCTTGCCAGACGTCCGTTTGTGATGTGTCAAAACATGGGCTTTGACACCAACAATGATTGATGGCTGTCTTTTGGTTTCCCTTCAAGCCCCAAAAAGTGATCGGGCCTTCTTTGGGGTGTTAAACATGGTTTCCCCACAAATGCCGCTGGTCTCCATTCCAAAAGCCCGAGCCCAAACAAAAAAAAAAACGTTCTTTGGGGGTGTTCTGCTTTTTTATTTTCCTTAGCAATGCCTCTGGTCTCCCTTCAAAAACCCGAGCCAACAAAAAAAGGGTTTCCCTTTTTTGGTTTCCCCCAGAAATGCCTCTGGTTTCCCATCAAGCCCAAGAAGCAAAAGAAGAAAAAGGTTTCCCCAGAAACGCCTCTGGTCTCCCTTCCCAAACCCGAGCCAAAAAAAACAGGGTTTCCCTTTTTGGTTTCCCCCAGAAGTGCCTCTGGTCTCCCCTTAAAGCCCAAGAAGAAAAAGAAAAAAGGGTTTCCTTTCCCCAACGCCTCTGGTCTCCCTTCCCAAACCCGAGCCAAAAAAAACAGGGGTGCCCTTTGTTGGTTTCGCCCAGAGGTGCCTCTGGTCTCCCCTTAAAGCCCAAGAAGAAAAAGAAAAAAAGGTTTCCCCAGAAACGCCTCTGGTCTCCCTTCCCAACCCGAGCCAAAAAAAACGGGGTTTCCTTTTTTTGGTTTCCCCCAGAAGTGCCTCTGGTCTCCCCTCAAAGCCCAAGAAAAACACGACAAACAAAGAGGGGACCGAGCCAGTGCCGCCGCGGGGCTTGGACTTGAAGAAGTCCTGGAAGTCGCTGCTCTCGGAGCACTGGAAGGCGCCTGAGCTCCGCGAAAGAGGCCCTGGTTTCTCAACCCAAAAGGGGGGGGGGTGGTGAGGGGAGGGCGGAGGGAAGGGTGAGGGGAGGGGGGGGAGGGTGAGGGGAGGGGGGGGAAGAGAGGGAGCCTTGGTATGGTGGCAAAATAAGAACTTGTTTTTTTGACGCAGCCTACTAAACATGAAGAGAACCAACAAAAACACATAAATATTTTTGAACAACGGTGAAGGTGTTCTCTCCTGGGTGACCTTTTGGGTTCCCTTTAAACCCCATGCAAGGGGGGGTAATCAGCTGGTTAGCCGGTTAGCCTCCTTCCGTGGTTGGCTTGGATTGTTGGCTTCCTTTGGTGGACAAGGCCTTGCGGGCCGGAACAGTTTTGTTGGTTCCCCACCAAAAGCGACTAGCCTCGAAAGCAGAAAAGCACACAGCACAAATCAAACAATAACACACCGAGGGCGCATCCGCCTGATTTTTTCACCGCGAGCCCTGGTTCGGGAGAAGCCACAGAACACCTCCAAACATGAGTCGAGAGGGTCACACTCGCTCTGGCTTGGGCCGGCACTGACACGAGTCTTGTAGGCACCATTGGTCAAGATGGAGCACCTGCAAAACGCTGAGATCACGGAGAAGAAAAGCGCGGCAGGAGCCATGGTCAAAATTAGTGAGACCCCCAGGAACCTCCCAAATGGACCATAGACAAGTCAGGATGAAATGTTGGGAAAGCAAATTTTCAGTTTGCATCCGCACCCCGCGAGCATATCCCATCACTGGCCCTTTCGATACCCGATAACCCCCGCCCCCCCCCCCCCCCCGAATCTCCCGTATCACCAAGCAAGCCCGGGCGGAAACGCGGAGAAACACGGAGTAGAAGCGAAGCAAGGCAGCCATAGCCTGCATTCCATAGCCTGCATGGTCAAAATGAGTTGTTTCATTCTGTGAGAATCCCATGCAGCTCACAAATGGGACCATAGTCAAGTCAGGACAAATGTTAGGAAAGCAACTTCGCAATTTGCATCGCACTCTGCAGGCATTTCCTATCACTGGCCCTTTCGATACCCCCAAAAACATATCCCGCATTACCAAGTAATCACCCCGGAACCCTTCCGGGCAAAAAACCCTAGTTGCCGTCTGAGGCGTTCACTTCTTGTAGCACAGTCCTTCAAACTTCTCCTCGTCGTCGCAGCATTTCTCAGTGGCTCCAAGCGTGTCGAAGGGCGATCGGGACATGAGCAGTTGACACTGTTGCCAGCTTACCCGGCAAAAACCCACTCCCATCGAGCTGCAAGAATACCAAGAGCAGAGATCCACACTAAGTTCCATAGTCAAACCTCCTTCTGTGGGCCATAAGCATAGTAATCAAACCGAGATCCTGGCATGCCCGTGGCTCAAGTATTTCCTTTGGAGGGAATCGATGGACACTTTTCAGCAGATTGACATAGAAAGGTCCAATGCACTATCTAATACTGTGGATGGACAAAATCCTACACCACCTAAGAAACCCCGAAATGATGATTCCCAAGTAAATACCCATAAACCATGGTTTCCACCATGGTTTCCAAGTGGTGCAAAATGAATTTCGCAACCATCCACAGTATCTCTGTTCGGAGCTCTCCGGCGGAGATCCGTCGAAAGCGAGAAAAACGTGCCGCGACACGTCTCCATGTTGCCGTGTGGCAGTCATCAGGAGCCCCCAGTTGCTTTGAGCAAACCCAGGGTTGACGCAAATACCCGATGATTTGCCATCCTTTTGAAGGGGACAGTCAACCACCACTGGTTTTAACGCGCTCTTGAAATGGGCAACAAATGGAAGCTAGGCGACTTTAAGGTTTCTCAGGTTATCCTCTTAGAGATCCAAGCCTATTTGACCCCAGATTCTTTCGCAATCCATTAGTTGGCCCTACAGTCTCTGATCCTGCTCATTCCAGATTTCGTAGTATCACCATTGACACCTTGAAGTCATTTGTCGTTTTCCTGATCCTCTCTTTGGTCAAGTCGTGTCAAATCGCGTCTTCGATTCTCTTGAGATCTGAGAGCCGCACGTTACCATCAACCAAGTTCTCAGACGGAGCCATAGGGTTGGTAGCGGACGCGCCTCATGCATGCCATTCCCAACTGCTTGCGGTCGACTGGCTTCTACCTCCCTGCAACGCCGGAAGAAAACAAACACGGCTTAAGAAAGATGTCCCTCCTTTTGGGGAAGCTTCTCTGATCCGATTCCCTCGCTCTCTCGCTGAGAGGGAAGCAAATCCCAGTACCAAGGTGTGACATGTAAGGATGAGTCTCAAAAGCGTGCAGCCAGGTCTGTCTCATGGGTTGAACTTCTATGGGGTGAAAGATAACCTGTTCGTCCCTTTTCAGAACCATCCCGTACCATGGGCGAGGGCTAAGGCTATCACTTCTCTCCCAGGCTTATTCGGGGATCCACCATTGGCCCCTTGTCCATGATCACAAGCTGGTTCTCGCAGAATTTCATTTGAGTTTGGGAACGAACCCAGGGATCCCTCAAAGAAAAAGCTCAGGTGATACCCCCAAGGTGCTCTTTTTAATGCTCGCACCACCCCGCAGCCCTCGCAGATCCTGGTGGAACCTTGGTGGAACCCTGGTGGAACCCTGGTGGAACCCTGGTGGAACCCTGGTGGAACCCTGGTGGAACTCTGGTGGAACCCTCGTGGAACCCTCGTGGAACCCTCGTGGAACACTCGTGGAACCTTACCTCAGGGCCGCCCCGGACCACCCCGGAACCTATCTGGGCTGAGACCCCAAAGCTTTCAGGTTGGGGAATGAAGCTGGGAATGGCGTTCGGCGTTCGCGGCTTCGACCCGCTGAGGGATCGGCTCACCACTTCGCCAGACTTGCCACCCCTGGCCGGGTGGAAGGTTCCAGAGTTGTACCCTCAAGGTCGTAGGCCTCGAAAATGAGTGTTCTTCTTTTCAGGTTTCTCGAAACATCCATTCAACCCATGGGAATGCATTTGATTCTCAGGGTAAGAACATGTTCTAGCAGATTCAGGCTTTGAGGATAGTCTTACCCCTATGTTGGTGAGCTCCTTATCGCAAAGAATATGACGTTCTACACTGGCCTTACCCTCCCACCCAACATGAAACTTGACAAGGGGACCATTTGGCGGGTTCCATGTTCGTTGGGAGCATAAAAGATCCCGCTCAAAACAAAGCAGTAGACTACTCTCTAAATTGGCCAACGGGGGCGCTGCTCGCATGGAGCCCACCCTGTTGTTTCAGGTACAACTCTCGAACGTTGGCGGTTTTGAGGGTGCCCCTTTTTGGGAAAACCACCAGGGTCCCAAAAAAATTCACCTCCTATCGGTTTAGCTTCAAATGGGGGGAACACTCAGGATATAGCTGCTTTCCAGGTTAAAAAAAAGGGGTTGCCTCAGCCATGTACAAGCTTAACTCACGAAGTACACTTTGGCAGCTTCCGTGCCACAATCGCATTTTCAGTACCAGTGCAGTACACTTTGCCAGCTGCACCTTGACAGTCGCAACTTGTTCAATACTTGAGCAGATGCTGCATGAGATGGCTTCAAAAAAAAAAGTTGGCCAGGGGATTCGATCCCTTGGGGGGCGGGGTCTAAATAATTAATTCTTCAATCTGTTTGGCCCAAACAGCTGATCAAATAAATCTTTCGGCATTTCAGCCCCTTGCCTTGCTTACGCAAGGAAAAACTTCAGCTAGCTTAAGCTAGCTTTCGTGACAAGTGTAGTACACAACCTGCACTCACTCTTGCACGCCCATCTAGCTGACGTGTTGGCCACCCCAACTGTCCGTTCTGGGTTGGGGTATCGGTTGGACAATAGGTGCACTCTGGAACATAGCGCACTTTCTAGGGTGTTAAAAAGGTATGCGGTACGTATCGGTATTGCATGCGTTAACGGCACAGCTACGTCCAGTCTCCATTTAGTCTCTTCATCGCTGGCTAGCTTTGTCCTGGTTTTGATTTCTGGGTGGTGGTCCCTTCTTGTGGAGGGTATCCTTATTCTTCGTGGGGTACGGAAATGCACTGCTATTCTTTGCCAGCTTCAAGTGAGGCAAGTCCTCTGAGGCTCCGGCGTCAGCTGGTTGACGCTGTCAATGCTGGGGTTGAGCACCGTCCTCAGCCATGTTGGCGGTGCTCCAGGAAAACCGAGGGTAAACCATTTGGGAAGCCACCTATTTGGGAGAGCCATGAGAAAGCCCCTTTGTCCAAGTGACCCCATGTTCCGCATGTTGCCGCCATTCCAAGGGTTTGACTTGTCCAACCTTTGAACCCACGGGGGGGATCGAACATGTCGCAACATGGACCTCCAAATGGCTCAGGGAAGCTAGATCTGAGAGCCACAATATGGGGTGTCTAGAAAACTCGGTGCTATCCGTCCCCCTTTGATGTCCTTTTCCGAGTGATTGGCTATTTATGTCACCCCAATAGACACCCCAATAGACACACTCACACACACAGCCACTAACACACACACACACAATAACACCCCACTGCTCGCGTTCTCCGCCAAAGGCACGCCACCTTCTCCGCGGCGGAAGATCTCGGCCCGGTTCGGATGGGACCGGATCCGCGGTTCGAGGGCGCCGGTTTCTTTTCCCTGCCAACAACCTCAAACAGAACACCAGGATACCAAGAAAGCAAAACATCTGGGCCAGAAGTAGACTTCCCGCGCAAAGCGGATGCACTTTTGTTGGCGAAAGAGCAAGCTGAGCTGAGTCATGGAACGAAGACCAACGTTAGGAAAGTTTATCAGAAGCTTCCTAGAGGTCCTGATCGAACAAGGGGTTTCGCTGGAAGGTCATGGCCATTCATGTTTCTCGGGACGTGAAACCTTGTTGTCGTTTGAGTTTTGGGGGTGAAAAGCCATCACAACTGACACTTTGGGGAGGAGAACATTCTTCTCTCCGTTTGGGCAGTGCCTTTTCTTTCGTTGTTGTCTTTTCCGGATGTCAATCTGAGCGAAGTCTACGTGAGCTACCCAGACTAGGCAAGAGCCCTTTTGCGAATGCTTTCAAAAACTGCCCATTGCCAAGCAAGCCTACGGGCTGAGTACGTGTTTTACAAGAGCTTTGCCTACGCTCCCTGGCGAAGGCAACACACATTTCGAGCTTGGATGTATGACTTGGCATCCTGTGCAATACTCCCTTGGTGCCCCAGTTGGTCGGAAAAGGCGCCATTTGGGTCCAATGTTGACACTTCTGTCGGGTGTGTTTGTGCGGGTGTGTGTTTGTGTGTATGTTCGTGTGTATGTGCGTGTATGTGTGTGTGTGTGTATGTATATGTATGTACGTATGTTTGCTGCAGGAGCGTGCAGGAGCGTGCAGGAGCGTGCAGGAGCGTGCAGGAGCGTGCAGGAGCGTGCAGGAGCGTGCAGGTGCGTGCAGGTGCGTGCAGGTGCGTGCAGGTGCGTGCAGGTGCGTGCAGGTGCGTGCAGGTGCGTGCAGGTGCGTGCAGGTGCGTGCAGGTGCGTGCAGGTGCGTGCAGGTGCGTGCAGGTGCGTGCAGGTGCGTGCAGGTGCGTGCAGGTGCGTGCAGGTGCGTGCAGGTGCGTGCAGGTGCGTGCGTGCGTGCGTGCGTGCGTGCGTGCGTGCGTGCGTGCGTGCGCGTGTGCGCGTGCGTGCGTGCGTGCGT